GGGCTGGTGCCCACACAATGGAGCGGGCACCGTCCCCCAAAAGGGCCGTCTGGAGGCCAATCCTCGACACGCGGCCGCCGCCGTTATCCCTAACAATCAACAAAGAACCTATGCAGCAGGCCACGGGCATCCACGCGCTTCCCGCCATCGCCAGCGCTGACATCGCGCGCGACTCGCGATGCCGGCAAATGGGATCCGGGCAGCTCCGCACTGCGCCGGAATCGCCGGGCAGCATTCGGCGGTGCTCCGCGCCCTCCACAGGCGGTTTGGGGATCAGCTTCCGCCACATCCAGTGCCCGGTGCCATTGGCCCACCGCGCAAGGGCGCGTCAAAAGCTGCCAAGGGAACGGAGCTCAAGGCGCGTCACCGCGACAAGCAGGCCATTGGCGACCGCCTCCCCAATCGTCCGAGTCGGAGCGTCCGATCCCCGGCCGAATCCCGACGGGCGCCCAGGCGCCCGCACACAGTGCGCCCATGGCGAAAAAGACGCGCAATTCCGCGGATGTGGCGCATGAAACACTGCAAACGGCGCAGGCCCAATTCCAGTAGCATTGCTTGCTCCGGAGGAGTTTCCGCGTGGTCTGTTGAAGCACGTCGCCCTGCAATTGTGCTGGCGGAAAGCGTGGCAAACGAATCCGCCACGCTGCGGGGTGTCAATCGCTCAGGACGGAAGCAACGAGCGAAAGCGGGAGGGGATGATGCACAGAGGGCGGCGGAGGGCGCCGTGAGGCGCGCGAACCAGGTCGCCTGCCCCACCGTGCGACACGAAGCCCTGAGCGTCCCCGCAGTAGCCGCAGGAGTGCCGCCCCACACCGCGATCCTCCACCACGCTCGCGCCCGCCGCCCCATCGGCCTCCATCGCCGCCCAGGGCGCGTCACCCGCGCGGCTTGCGGCGCGGCAGGCGGCGGCCGAGTCGAGCGGCTTACCCCGCGCTGCCGGAACGGCTGCCTGCCCGTGCCAATGGGCCACGACTCTCACACCTACCTTGCGCAGACAGGGCGTTTCAGGACGCCAACCCGGCCCCAGGGTTACTAATCCCCCGGTTTTCGCACCATTCGGAGGCGCCCCCGCTCCGGTAGAAACCACCCAACACACTCAGTGCACACAGCAGCCCCCCCCCTCGGCGTCCCTCCTCTTCTTTTCAGGGTGTCTTCCTTTGCACACACACACACTGCACCCCGCACTCCACACTGGGCACCCCGCACTCCACACTGGGCACCCGGCACTCGGCTCGGCTAGGCTCTTCACCGTCTTGGCCCCTCGCCCGCCCGAAGAGTTGGGCCCACTGGACTCCAACCGCCAAGGCGGCCTGGACCTGGTCCCTGGACGCGATCCAGCCAGCCAAACCCTTCGCGATCGCCCCCCGCCCGCGGGCAAGCCGCCGGGTTCGCCCTACCGGCGCCGACCGGCCGTCGCGTCGATCATGGATGCCAGCGGCGGCGGCGGTGCGATGATGGGGTACGATTTCATGGAGAAGAGCGTGATCGTGCTGCTGCTGGCGGGGATGCTGGGGTACGCGGCCAAGGTGGTGCTGGACATGCGGGCCAGCGGGCTCAGGGTCAGGCCGCCAGGTGATGATCCTGAGATCGACATGAGGCCCATACCCGAGGAGGATACCCACTCGGATTGAGGTCCAAATTCTGGGAGGAAAGCAAGAGGGGGTTTGTGTGCGTGCGTGTGTGTGTGTGTGTGTGTTGTTGTTGTTGGGCGGGGAACGTTACATTTCTGGTTGCTTCCCTTGGTGAACATGCTTCCGAAGTGGAGCCATGCCTGCTGGTTGCCACCCTGCATGGCAACTGCGCGCCCAGCTCCTGGTTTGTGGGCAGGCAGGTCTATTTGGTATGCCATGTTTGCCCTTGATCGCACAGGCGGCCGGGGAGTTGCAGGGCGGCAGGGAGAGGCTGGGATTGAGTGGGAGGGGGATGTGTTGGCATGGTTTTGAGGTTGCTGGGGCCGGAGCGGTGCTCCAGGTGCGTCCATTCTAAGCAAGTGTATGCGAGGCTCTTTTCCATACTGTAAAACGATGATATAGAGCCTCCGATGCGAGAAGCGGAGCACATACCAAGGGTCGTAGGGGGAGGAGAGCGAGCGCAGTAGAGATGGCATCGGGCAGTGGTGGGGTGGGAGGAGAGGGGAAATCGGAGGCTGTGGAGGATGGTGCACTGGCGAGGCTTTCTGGCGTTGGGGCCATCCGGTTTGGTGGGTTGGTTCTGGTGGTGTGTGGGGCGATGAGTGAAGAAGCCCAGCGGCTGAAAGTACCGGAGGAGCGTTCTTGTCCCACCATAGAGGAGCATGGCGCTAACCTTTGCCGCAGTCCCTGCTGTCTTCGTGATTCAGCAGAAGATTTGGGGATCAATGTGGGGCAGTGGGCAACCCGCAGGAACAGCAAGTCGCACTGCTGCGGACACGGGTTTGGTCAGTGGCCGCGTGGGCAGAAAACATCCCAGCAAACCGCCCAGCATCCATCTTACTCTCCTGAAACGATTGAAACGCCTGAAACAAGCATACCGCTGGATATGGGTGGGCTCCGAGTGTGGACTGAAGCGGATGGCACTTTTGAATTCGAACATTTCCCATAAACTGTCACCAAGATTCCCCCTTCACCAACATGGCATCGTGGACCTCCGCGTTAGTGGCTTGGTTTTGGATCTGCAGCGTCATGGGAAGCCTCCAGGCATGGTTGCTTCCATCCCCATTTTGCAGCCCCTTGCACATCCTGCAGGACAATTTGTGGCTTGCAGCTGTGTTCTCACTGCGCTCGAGCATGCAGTCGCGTCTCCTGGCTGCAAAAAGGGGAGTGCCTGTGTGAGGTCATCTCTGGTGGAAGGCATTTTGGCTCTGCAGTGCACTGCTGCAGGAATATCAATGAAGTGTACAGTCAAAATCTTCTTGTGGAACCTTCCAAAGAATGTCCAACCCCATGAATGCAGAGTCCTGAACGTTACCCCTTAAGAAATGAGCATGACAGTTGGGATGTCAACTGAACCGATACAAAATGTCATGAACGAGAACCTGCAGATGGAATGTTGCATTATTGGCATACGAGCCATTCCATCTCGAAGATCGGATTGCAGGCAAAGGGCGCAAAAGCGACTCCACAGTATGCATGGCCATCCTGCTCGACATACCCCCTCCAAGGCAGAGCAGAGCCCTGCATGGCTGTGAAGTAACCGAGGAGGTTGTGTCGCACTGCCTCAGGCAGCTTTCCTGATTGCTTCATGGCCCTGCTCGGCTCTTATCAGCCGCAGAAGGGCATGCCCATTGGGAGAGAAGCGGCTGTCCCAGCTGGCTGCCATCGGCTGTGGGTCCTGGCCAAGCCCCAAAAAGGGGATTGGTGATGTGTGAGAGGAGCTTCTGAATGCAAACTTCAACGCCAGCAGATTCTCATACTCTTGCATTCCGAAACTGTTGGTGCAAGCAGGCCTGTGCTTGGTTGCCATGATATTCTCTAGCACACTATGGTGCCACCAGGCGAGAGGAGCAGGTTCTGCACACAAAAAGGCGACAAGTGCTTTCATACGACCCACCACACTGCATGCAGTGGTAGCAGTGGCTGACTAAGAGCAGCAAAAATGATCTCACACAGGGGCAGTCCCTTTGGCCTCCTCCTGCTGAACACTGTATTAACCGATAGATAGCAACAGTTACAGCTGCAATGCACAATAATTGCCAATCCTCAATCGGCTTTTCCACAATGGCAACAATTGCCCACGTCATACAACTTCGGTCCATGCTCAAACCGTTCCAATGTATTGCATGTGCAGCGCTGGACGCTTGGCAGAACCCAACCGTGCCAACACGGGAAGCGTACCCAACTGGATGGAAACCACGCACATCAACTCTCTGCATCTGTGCCAGCCTTCTGGAATGACAGCGACAAGCTGTTGACGCAGTGGCGCACGTCAGTGGGAGTGGGGAAGCCCTGAACAAAGCAGTCATGCCAGTTGAGCAGCTGCTCATTGTGTTCCACCGGTGCAACACGAAAGCAAAGGCACGCGCTGTACTTTGACGCATCGCATTGTCGACTATGGTGACTCATCGGGGCGGTAAAACAGAACATCAACTTGCCTGAGTGGGTGCAGTCAATCGACTTGAGAGCCAATTTCAATGATCATCCAATGGCTGCCTCCTCGTCTTGACCCATACTATGTCTTGATATAAACACATCCAATGATCCATCGGTAACAAGTTGTGATTTCTAATTCAATTAAAATACATCAAGACAATGAAGTGGCCTTCAGCTCCCTGCTGCCCAACACAAAGCAGTGCCCAAATTTGCTCATTCAATGAAGTTCTCATTGAAGCCAAGACACTGCACCAACGAAATGCTTTTCAAGGACCTGAAGGGATAAGTAGGGCAAGGGAACACCATGCTACTCCATCACTTGAAAAGCGGGGTGCTTCCTCACCTCTCCCTCGAACACATGACCCAAATGGCCATCGCACTTGCTGCACACGATCTCAACACGCCTCATGCCCATCGAAACGTCCTCATTTCGCTTGACGGCCCCCTCGATCTCGTCATAGAAGGCAGGCCAACCGCAACCGGAGTCAAACTTATGCTCAGACCTGGACAGAAGGATCACACTATGTCATGCTTTGCACACGTTGACATGAATTGACATTCCATACACTGCAATGGTGGTAAGCACAAATGCAAAGTCAAGCATCGCATTCTTTACCCATCGTCGTCTTGAGAGCAATAAGATTGATGTACGGTCACAGGCAGACAGTCGCTGTCTGTCTGCCCCATACGAGTGCCTTACTCAAGCGACGGCCCCTGCATGGGATAGAAAAATATGCTGCATGGGATGAATACAAATCTGTGAGGTCCATGCATGGCTTCCCAGTGACCCAACAGAGAACAGCTGGAACACTCACTTGTACAGTGCGGCTCCGCAGCCGGCGCATTTGTACATTCCATTGTCATAAACTTTGTTGTATTTGCCAGAGTTGGGCGGCTCGGTCCCCTTTCCACGCAGAACCTTGTACTGCGGCAGACGCAGCCAGCAAGTCTCACTGTCCGTTACTAAAATTGTTGTGCCGTTGCTTCATTCCTATTGTTAAACAATGCGGAAAGTGCAACTGTTAAAAGAGGTCGAAAACTCTGCGGTTGTCAAGACAATGAGCAGTCAGCAGGCCCTGCTGTCAATCCCACTGAAAACATGTGGACGGCAGGGAACATGCACCAGATTCCGGCCTATCCACGCAACCTGGAAGCGATGGTCAGAAGCTTGGATGGGCCTCCAAACAGAGCACAACCTGGCCCATGTCTTCAGCGGTTCCCTTCCAGCCCAGGTAACGGCACACGCAGTGGGAGTGTTTCCCTCAAAGCGACAACAACATGAAGCTGGTTTGCGTGTCGATGCCGTCCCTCGTTCTCCATCCAACAAATCTCCACCCTTCCCCACCCCACCCCACCCTCCCGCTAAATCTCTCCCTGAAGGTGGAGCAAATGTGGGATTATGCCACGTCACTTTGTCTCGTAACAATCTTTCCCACTCCACCCCTCCATGCCCCTTCTCGGCACCAATTCAGAACCAAGACCAAAGCCCGCGGCCATCCCCTTGCCCTGATCGCAAACATCCCTCTCGATTTCGATCGCCTCCGCGCCAAACCGACGTTGCTCCGCACCTGTTCCGGCGAGAGGATCTCCTTCCACGTCGAGTCCGGCGTGGTGGCGTCCGGCGGCTGGGCCATCGCGCCGGCGGGCTGGATCCTCGGGGACGCTGCGAGTCGCGGCGCGGGCGGGGCCCACTTGCCCGGGCGAGCAGAGAGCGCTAGGAAGAACGCGAGGAGAGGGCGCAAAGAGAGTCGGAAAGGGGAGAGCGCAAGGAGGGAGGGCGGGGAGAAAGGGCAGGGAGAGGGCAAGGAGAGACAGCAAGGATCGTTTCCTGTGGAGGGGCCAAGCAAGCAAGGCCGGCGAGAGGAGGGATCCACAGCGAGCTGGCGGTAGGGAGCGGCCGAGCAAAATATGCGCACTCGGTGGCGCCCTTCGGTAACGTCAGGGAGCGTTATTCGGGCCGCGGGCATGACGATGGCCGCGCCGTTATCGGTACCGGTGCGTAGGTCATCGATGAGTGTCCTCACGAGAGTCGCCCTGGGGATGGCGGCACCGGTCTTCTGTGTCTGGTGTACCGCGGGCTTTTAAACCCTTCCGCATCGGAAAATGTTACCGTTACGCTTTTCGCTCCGCATTTGTTTTCCAGAGCGTTAATTTTTACTACTTTTACGTTGCTCCGCAAGAATTTATTAAAAGGGCGTTGTTCATTTTACTGTTTTCACTGCAAAAAATGGCTAAGCGTTACATTACTATGCGGAAGGGTTTTAAAACCTCTGGTATCTGGGGTGCTGGTACTTTGCTGCTGCATGCCGCGGTCTGGAAGGCGGTGAGAAAGTTTGCCAGCAGACCTCCAGTGCCCGTAGTTTGGTGCTGGGGTTTAGGTTGCACGAACTGCTGAAGGGCTTGCGGACTTCGAGGGGAAGAAGGCGGAGATGTCAGCAAACGACTGCAGCACCAGCTGGTTGCCGATTCTCGATAACCGATCATTGTCTGGTGGAAGGCGGGCGGCAAATTCGTCCTCGCAGTGGGACACCATGTGAGCGCTGCGGGTTTCAGCCTATACCGTGAACGATTTGCTGAAACCGTGAGCTTCTTCAGCAGTCTGGATCTGGTGCTGAAGGACACCGACTTCCAATCATCACGAAAGTTGAATTTCATGACTGCAAAAGTTTCTGACTGTTGATCTGCGTCAGTTGCTTATCAACGATATTGACTATCGTTGCTGATTGACGATGCTTAACTCGGCAACTGCTGTCTTTTCAGATCAGTTAATTAACTTATAAGAGCGATTGAGCTGCAATCTTTCAAAACTGGCCTCGACGGGACAAAGCGGTTCCTGCAGGTTGTGGACGACGGCGGCATGTGTGCATCCAAGAAGGCTTCTATGTCTCACAACCATTCCATTGATCCGCTGGCCACCCGTATATGCAGACGCTATCACAGGAATGACATCCCGAGCCGGTGAATTAACCGAACCCAAACGTGCGGTGGCACAGGTGGCAATCCACGTTTGGGTCAACCAATCCATGCAAATCCAAATCTGGGTATCCGAAATTGGATTTTGCGCGGATTTTGTCACCTAGCATATTGATGGTCAGACAAATATTTGGTACATTCCGGAATCCCTGCCGTATGGGGTTTCACCGACGAAAACTGGACCAAAAACTCAACTGCATTCCGTGCTTGAATGACGTTGGTTGATTGCTGAGCATCGTCACGATGTTCAGCACATGGTGTGCTTTCTTACCTCACATTATGCTTTCAAGGACAACCGTGATCAAATATGTAATATGTAGTAATGCGCATCGTTCCTTGGATGAAATTTTCACCAGCGCTTAACACTAGTAGAAAACAAGCCAGATGACACAGTCCTGACATGGTCTGCTGAAAATCCTATTGTGTGCTTTCGGCAAATCTGGTCCCAAGACCACACATTTAGTACACACATCGACACAATTTCAACTGTGTACCCTGGGAAACCATGCAGTCTACACTGTTTCCGAGGGCAGAAGGTCGAAATTGTGTTGAAACTGTGTCAATGTGTGTATCCCACATGTGTGGTTTTTTGGACCACATTTGGCGAAAGCGCAGAGTTAAATTTTGAGCAGGCCGTGTCAGGACTGTGTCATCTGGCCTGTTTTCTCTTAGTGCAAGGAATTCAACTGTTTTTAAATCTCAAGTCAGCATCATGTGCACAATAGTGCTCAAACTATCACACTCAGTCAAATATGTGCAACACATCCGCCGGTGCTGATCCATAGCCAATTGAATCAATTTGGAAAATGCAAATCAATTTGATTATTTGTACTCAACAAACCATGAAAATAGCGATTGCGACTGCCTAGTAGTGCTGCTCGTTGTTTGGACAACATACGGTAAATCCCCACATGCTAATTGATCTGAACAGGTGCCATCAACACGAGGACTGATTCTATGTGTTACTTCGTAGTTCAGTGTACTGCCAGTGCCACTGTCGGAATCCAGCAGCGGCTATGGCGGTACAATTTTAAAGACGGCAGCAAGTCGACTTCGCGACGTCCCGGTTGTTAAGCTAGTTGCGTTGAACTAAAAAGCTCCCATTCTAACCTAACAAGTGCCCCTAGACTGCCCGTCCCGAGCAGTGTTCTGGCTGTCCCTCCTGTCAGGAGGCGCCTTGTAGCCGGCCGCCTGAAAAGAAGCTCATACCCGGGCTTGCCAAAAGAACCAGAGGATATTCTCCGGCATGGAGGAAGACGAAGACGCGGCCGCGTGCCTAGCGTCGCCCGGCAGGTCCTTCACAGTGCCGGTGCGGGCGCAGTACATCAGGTGGGCGCCGTCAAGCCAGGGATGGACAGTTTTGAAGGAAGAAATGCTGGCAACCGTTTTCTCCAGGTTTTAACTGTTCTTGAGGCTGGACGCCTCCAGCGCTGGGTGCCAGCTGACCCGTGGAGCGTCCTCTCAGGGTTTGAAGGGCAGGCGCCGATCCCTCTCTTGTTGGAGTAGAGTCTCTAAGCTTTGAATGACCTTTAGGCAATGTGGGTGAAAGAGTTCGTAGTTTGGACTAGCAAAATACATTTCATTTTATATTGGGCCGCATCATACATATGGGATATAAATCGAGGGCCGCCCGCGAACTTTCCTTTGCTTGTCACATATATTGCGCTACTATTTCACTCAAAAATACAGTGTGCTACGGTCTCTTGAAAGGTTATAGGAATTGGGCACTAGCGCTCGTCAGGGCGTCCTGACATGCTTCCAAGAAGTTGCTCAGATCGAAATTCTGGGGCGAATCTGGAAGGGCCTTGGGTATAATGTGGGTATTCACTTCGGATCCATAAAGTTGGTCGCAGTGAGTGCTTTCGCACGCCTCCAGCAGGGAAGCGATGAGATGTGGGACTTCAAATTCAGCGCCATTTGGACGTTTTTGGTGGCCCACTGTTTTGTCAAAATTGTGCTTGGGCCGAGCTGCAGCAAACAACAACGTGCTTAGATGCTACCCCGGCCAACACGGTGATCCAGTCCGTTGAGAGAGATCGCGCATCTGGTGGAATCAAAAGCAATGTAGTCTTGAGAGGAAATTTTTAGACTTGTCTTAGCATCGTAACAAATGAGGCATACGTGTTTTTACAAATAGTCGATGATATTCCTATATAAACAGAGGTGGATTGGAATCCAGATTGAAGTTCTCAAAAATTCGTATTTGTGCCTTTCAGGTTTGGCGTGGCCTGGCCGTCGGATGACGAGAACAACATTGCAATGGATTTGTCCTGCGTTATGTTTGGTAAAATTTATCCACAATCCCGCTGCCTGCAATGCGATCTTTTCCTTCTTCGCTAGCTACTCAAATCTAATATCCCATCGCCAAAAAAAAAGGTTCCAGTACTTTGATTCATTCCGTTAATGTCGCTGCCCGAGAAGCATATCGAACATTCAGACCACCCTTCTAAACTATCTTCCATGAGCGCTGCAGCAATCCCACTCAGCTTTGAACAAGATTAATGGCACACTTCGCCATCATGCCGGAGAATGTGCATGTGAACATTAACACCCGTATGCTGCCGCATTTCGGAGCTCCACCATTCTTCTCAGATGACTGACGCCCCTGCCGTCCTCATTGCGAAGCAGAACCAATATTTTCAGGTTTTGCATCCATCAAGGGCCGTTTTTGTTGCCGTAGGTGGAGATGGGAGCATTATGGAATCCGTGCACTTCGCGAACAGAGAAGGCGTCCAAGGATCCGTCGTTCATACCAGCTCGAACGGCGCCGATGGCAGCGACAGGGAAATTGTGGACGTTTGCCCCGCGAGGGTCCTTCAGGAGTGCGAGGTGTGTATCTTATACCGTACATCAACTTTATGCCGCCTTACCGATCTCATG